CTGGCCACGTGACAATGGAAACTGTCTTCAGACAAGTGCTGGCTCTATGGCTTGAAAAACAGGATGAGCACCGCCCCCTAGAATCGGACACGACTGGACTAAAAATGTCAAGGGGAACCTTTACCTTTACCGTATGACATCTAAGAATGGGAGTTGGCCCTCTATTTCTTTTTCCATGGCGAATTATATATTTGGGTGGATGCTGTTGAGATGGTTTAGAAATTCTTCCAATTTTTCTTCACCATGGTTCCAAATTGCGAAGGTGTCATCCACATATCAGAACCAGACTGTGGGTGCGAAGGGTGCCGAAGCCAGGGCCTGTTTTTCAAAATGCTCCATGTAGAAGTTTGCTATAACCGGGCTGAGGCTGTTTTACATTTTCTAATTTGGTTTTGTTCTTTCTCCTTCCTATAAGTACTCTTGGCCATTATGATGATGCCATTCAAGCTTTCTTGTCAACTGGTCTCTCAGAATTTGATGATATCATAGGAATTGCTCTGGCTTATTTCAAGAGAGGACACTTTCAAGAAAGTCAAAAGTGTAAGTATGAATATGAGCATAAATTTGAATTGTCACCAGGTTAGAATTGCTTGTGATTCATTGAAGTGTGTTAAGACCACAATGGTGTTTCCCAAAAAAGAATGGTTAGAGGCTGACTTCATTAAATATTCCTGCAACACATGTGACATAAACCAGAGAAATTGCTGTTAACAATATGAGTTATTACTCTAACTAAATGTGGCTTATCATTTTTTCTTTCATATACCAGAACTGCAGCTTGACTCCACAGTTGTTTACTCAGCTTTTGGAGGAAACTGAACAAGAGTCAGTGTGTTTTTCTGACCTTTATATCCAGTGAGAAATGTAGTCACTACATTTCCATGCAACTTCCACCAGGGACAATAGTATCTTGCCTCTGAGCGCACACATGCAGATCCTGAAGTCCATACTGTACTTCTGGCCCAGTTGTGAAGGGGCTGCACTTGCATTCTGATGTCAGTACAGTGGTGATTGTGTGCAGCCTCTTCACATCCAGTTACACTTCTCTGGAGTGTCATTATACTTTTTATTTGATCTCACTCTGACGAATCTCTAGAGGTGAGGAAGATATGTCCAGGAGGCTGCACTCGTCAACATTTTTTTATGTTTTTGGAGTTTTCCAAGGTGCAGCGAAACCTGCCACATTTTCTCTCTCCAAGCTATAGAGCAGTGATGGCGAACCTTTTTGATCTGAGTGCCCAAACTGGGAAAAAAAAAACCAAAAAAAACCCCACAACCCAGCGGGTGGTGGTAGAAGCGGATGTGGCGGTGCCGGAATGGGGAATCCCAGGTACGGAGGTGCCCCCAACCCCACTCCGGATTCGCCTCCAGTCATGGCCAACCCCACCGCTACCTATACCTCGACTAGCCTGCTGCCGCCAGCTGCCAGCTGCTCCAGATCCTGGCCTGCCACCTGTCAGGGCGCTAGCATTGTGGCTGCAGCCTCCTTCTCAGGTTTGGCTGCTTGGGGTAGTGATCAATTCTTATGGCATGCGTGTCCACAGAGGGGCTCTGTGTGCGAGCTGTGGCACACTTGCCATAGGTTCACCATTGCTGCTCTAGAGTCATTTGTTCTTGCTCATGGAGGAAGAAACACTCACCTTGGGGAATAGGGTGAGTGTTATTGATGGATCCTTGCCATCCAAGAACCATTTTCAACCTGTTGTTCCTGCAGCCAGCTTCACAGCTGTGATATGCTGCCATCTGCCAAAAAGCAAATCTTGCCATTTCCAGTAATGCTCCATACATTTACAGTTCTTTAAACTCTGACCAAAAAAAGCCACAAATTAATGTTTAGAATTTTTATTCAAGCAAACCTCTGCCATTGCTAAGGCTTTTTTGCACCATGCAACTACAGTGCACTTACAAAGTGAATGTTTATCAATATATTGTTTGATTTCTATCCTGTCTTTATCCAGGAAACTGGGATATTTGAATTTACCTTTTTAAATAATTAATTATGTTAGTACACCCATCTTATGGCAACCCTCCAAGGATTTGCTAGGTAAAATTACTGAGAAATACTTTACTAGTCCTTCCTGCTGGCAGTGTTTTGGCTAAAGCCATGCAGACAACTAAGCACATCAGCGGCACACACTTCTGGGTGATTTTTGCTGACTTCTCTCCTGGAGGCCACAGTGGTGATTCAGACCCCTGGCCCTTGGCTCTACAGCCAGGCACTCCAATGCACTGAGCTATAACAGCTGATAGTTGTTTTTAATCTACAGAGAACTAACAAGCTAGAAACTGGCAGCATACAGTGATCACTCATGTTAAATTATCCGTGTTTTGGTGCGCTAAAAAGTTCCTAATGTAGGTAAATGAGCCAAATACTGATAGTCTATTACAGAAATTACAAATGATGTATTACCCTGAATGAAGGTGAGGTAGCATTGATAAGTGATGTTTTCCTCATAATCCATGGGCCGGAAGGGACAGTTGCTCCTGTCTCAAGTAAATAAATGAGGTAGCCTTTTTAATGGTCTGTGACACATGCATATGTTCCACAAAAGAGGAGAGCTTTCTTTTCTATACCACTCACCAGTATATGGAGCAGTATACTAGGCCTGTTTTGATAGGTCTGCCAGAGGGGTAATGGTGGAGATGGGTGGGGGGAATTAGCATTTGTGAGATAAGGAATGGAAGGAGGAAGGCAAGCCTGGCCAGTGGGAAGTTGCTTCTCCAAGTAAAGCTGAAGTGCTGATGAAAATAGGGAGTCACCAGGCAAAAATAAGAAGTAAAAGGCAGGGTGGGGGAACAGAGCCCAAGTCCTCATAATTGTCTAGTTTTAGAGTTAGGGGAGTCTAAAGGGCTTCATTTTTCAGTTAGTCACAAATCATTGGACAAATACTATGGATGTAAGCTACTCTGAGGTATTCCGGCCACTGGTTACAATTTTTAAAATGGGATGAAAGCCTGTAGTTATTCTCTCCTTGACAGTAATGATCACCCACCCACAACCAAAAACTATTAATAAGTACAGATTTGAAAGAAAATTATATGAAAATATTATATAGATGGTATATGACACCAGAGAAATTGGCAAAGGTGAAGAAAAATGAGAAAGATAAATGTTGGAGATTTAAGATAATAAAAGGAACACTATATCATATGTGGTGGGGTTGTAAATTTAATAGGAAATTTTGGAAAGAAATAGAAAAAATGATCACCATAGATTTAAAAATAAAAATAGAGATGAGACCTGAAACTTATTTGTTCAATATGATAAAGTTAAACTGGAGACAAGAGACAAAAATTTGTTTATACACATTAGGCACAGCCAGAATTCAAGTGGCAAAACAATGGAAAGACAAGGAGGAACCTTTGGTGGAGGACTGTTTAATAACATTACAGGAACTAATATTAATGGACAAACTAACAGACTCATTGAAAGGCAAGAGTAGAACAGAGCACAAATCTCAATGGGGAAAAGTCAAGAATTATCTCAGACAGAAATGGAAGAAAGATTCCAAACCTGTACCAAGTGACCTAGGCTTACAGGTAAATTAGAAGCAGAGCTGCTCTCAACAGAAGTAAAAAGAAAGTAAAGCAGATTGTTAATATGTATATAAAATAAGAATTAAGAAAGGTATTATTAAGATTGCGAAGAAAATAAATGTCTGGTGGAAAATAAGGAAGTAAAAATGTTAAAGACTTATTGTTTTGCGAAAGAGATAATAGAAAGTTAATTTGGTTATGTGCTCTGTGACGCTCGGCCCCACGTCACTCTTGTCACTCATGTCCAGATCTCATTTGCATGAGCCTATGGGAGGAATGGAGGGGCGGAGTCAGCGAATAGAAGAAGGTGTGGCAGAGTGAGAGTGGCAGTTAGAGAGAATGGAATATAGCAGTTGGAAATAAGAGGGACAGTTGGAAATAAGATCAAGAGAGATAGAGAGATAAGAAGAGAGATAAGAAACATGATAGAGATAAGCTGGTATAGAGAAACAGATACATAGATAGAGCAGATGGTGGCAAAAGATATGTGATCTTGATTTGATTGTATGCAATGAATAAATAACATCTGTGATTCCAATATAATTTAATACACTTCAATAAATCAGTTCTGTTGTCGGCAAGTGTATGAATAAAGTCTTTTACGTTTTGGATAACAGAAATTCACTGGTGGCAGTGAGAAGGAGAAGTAGCTTCTCAATTGATATCTGCTGGTGAGCTGGCGGCGTGAGCCTTTGTTTGGTGAAGGAAGGGTCACGTGGCAAACGTCACAATTGCTAATATTGTGATAATTTTTTATATTTTTTATAATTTTTATAATTTCTTTTTTTAAATGCAATAAAGATTAAAAGTGTAAAAAAGATGTTTGGTGAAGGTTACGTGGCAACCGTCACAATTGCCGCCTAGAGTAATCTTAATTGATTAGATAGGCGGGATATAAATAAAATAAATAAATAAATAATAAATTGCTAATATTGTGATAATTTTATATATTTTTTATAACTTTTATAATTTCTTTTTTAAAATGCAATAAAGATTAAAAGTGTAAAAAAGATCCCTTAGCTGTAAACAAATCCTTTACATCTAGAATTTTTGTTTTTTATTACTAGCTTATGAGAAAGCTCTCTCTGCTGCTGAAAACGAGCAAGACAAAGCATCTGTTCTGACAGCCCTGGCAATATTGGAATACAAGCAGAATCGACTGGATGCCGCCAAAACCCTCTTATTTAAATGGTAGGTATTAGATGCTTGCATGTATCCAAGACAATAATTAAAGTACTTTGGAAGTAATCATTACTCTTCCTCAAACTGAACTTGGGTGCCAACAGGATTGCATGCAAAACAGAGAAAGAGGAGGGAAATAACCAATAGGCTCAAGGGAATGGCTGCCGCCAAATTTGGGACTTTTCTTTTGTAAATTTTTTTTAAAAATGGCCACCAGAGAGGATGAGGGGGCATGTTCAGCTTAGATAATCACGTGTTTTTAAAAATGTGGAGCAGGGAGCCCTTGTAGCCTTCCAAGGCCCAGAAATGGGTAGTTGTGGCTTTTTGACCTTTGGAGATTGCCTCCCTGATCTGTTGGAAAGTGTCTGTGGTGTCACTTACGACGTACATTGGCCTTCTTGAATCCTTTAAAAACAGGACTTTGCTGCATGAGCTTTCATTTAGTTTGCAGCCCATGTGATACTTAGCCCTTTAAAAGAAAGAATGGAAAACTATTTCTCACCTGGAGCCCTATTCCCCCCTATCAGGATACTTTCTTTTTCACTTTGAGTTTTTTTTCTTGGAGGAAGAGGTGCTGCCGCCGTGTGTGAACATCATTTCACTCTCAAATTGTCAGAAACAATCAACATTTTTACAAGGGGGAGAACCTTCAGTGGATAGTACTGATCATTTTCTTTGCAGAGGGAGCCCTGGGAAGTGGCAGGAAGAAAGGCTTTGATGGGTACAGCAAAATATCATGAATTGAAGCACGTGCAGAAATTTTGCTGTGCTTACCTAATAGTATCATCTCTCAAACTCCATGAACAAATAAAGGACTCTGATCAATTGTTCTCTGTGATTTATAATCTCATATATATAGTAGTTGTGCATGTTAGTCATGGCCACAGTATTTCTATTTTAACCATCTATTAGAACAATGGCATCATCCTACACTGTATTAGTCATTCTTATATTTGCTATAGATATTAATGTTAAATTTCTTTAAGATGGCTTTTAAAGTATTGCCATAAATGTGATGGATCAATACTGCAAAAGTGAAGTTTTATATCCCATCTGGATTATGATACTGCACTCTATGTGGGGCTGCTTTTAAAATCTGTTAGAAAGCTTTAGATGGCTTAAAATGCTGCATCAAGGCTGCAAAGTGGGGCTAGTTACAGGGAGTATATAACTTCCCTGTTACAACAGCTTCACTGGTTGCCAGTATGTTTCTGTAACTAATTCAAACTGCTGGTTATGACCTATACCAGTGGTTCCCAACCTTGGTTCCCCAGATGTTTCTGGCCATCAACTCCCAGAAATCCTGAGCAGCACAGCTAGTGGTGAAGGCTTCCAGGAATTTTAGTCTAAGAACATCTGAAGTCCCAAGGATGGGAACCACTGGCCAAATATGCTGAGGTGCAGGTTATCAGAAGGACTGTCTCTCCCCATATGAGCCTTCTTGCTTCTACATTCTTCATCCTTTCAATTGATCATACATACCCTATGGCAGTGATGGTGAATCTTTTTGAGCCCAAGTGCCCAAATTGCAACACAAAATCGACTTACAGTGGTGCCCCGCTTCAAAACGACCCCGTTAGACGGCCTAATATGCTCAGGTGCAGGTTATCAGAAGGACTGTCTCTCCCCATATGAGCCTTCTTGCTTCTACAGTCTTCATCCTTTCAATTGATCATACATACCCTATGGCAGTGATGGTGAATCTTTTTGAGCCCAAGTGCCCAAATTGCAACACAAAATCGACTTACAGTGGTGCCCCGCTTCAAAACGACCCCGTTAGACGACGAAATCGCTTTACGATTAATTTTTTGTGATCCCTATAGCGATCACAAAATGATGATTCAATGGGGTTTTTTTGTTTGACAACGATCGGTTCCCTGCTTCGGGAATCGATTTTTCTCTTCACGATGATCATAAACAGCTGATGGTCGGGTTTTCAAAATGGCCGCCCGCTGTTTTCCAGACCTATTTCCAGAAGACAGCGGTCGAAAATGGCTTCCCCTATGGAGGATCTTCGCTTTACGATGAGATATTTCGCCCATTGGAATGCATTGAACGGTTTTCAATGCATTTCAATGGGTTTTTTACTTTCGCTTGATGACGATATGGCTTAACAGTGATTTTAACGGAACGGATTATCGTCGTCAAGCGGAGCACCGCTGTATTTATTTCAGACTGCCAACGCTGCAATTAAAACCCGAATAGTGTATTTATTTCAAACTGCCAACGCTGCAATTAAAACCCGAATACTGAGGTTTTAGTTCAGAAAAAAACACTACAAGGGTTAAATGCTTGCTTGTTTGTTTTTCCTATGGGCGGTATTAACAAAGAAATAATTACCGATCCTCCAATATCCTATTGGGCTAGACCAGTAATGGTCGCCATTGCACCCCTCCGCTGGACCAGTGCATCAGCAGAAGGGAATACCAAAATACGGGATCGGAGGATGGGTAAGTATTTCTCGATTGTGACTTATCGCTCTTGTTCCCACAGAGAGGGCTCTGTGTGCCAGCGCTCATGTTCCCACAGAGAGAATTCTGTGTGCCAGCTGATCATAAACATATTTGAACTTGCTTATGAATTTAAATGAAGGCTGCAGATAAAATGTGAAATGTCATAGAAATCCTTCCCCTACTTGACCATTCATCTACTTTTTTATAGCAGAACAAGGCAAACTTCAGTCCTCCAGGTGTTACTGAACTACAAATCCTAGTATTCCTATTAGTTCCCTGCACTCAGAGGAGTTGCAGTCCAAAACCAATTATTTTTATAGTTTTCGACACTGTTTAGGTGTAAAGGTAGCTCTTCAGCTATTTCCAGAATATTCTCTAATTAAGGAGATCCTGTCAAATGAAACTTGTCTTTTTTTAAAAATAGGAAACAGAATCTCAGATCTCTTGAAGGCGAACATTTTGGACCTACTGTTGTTATAGATATCTTAATCATTGGGGAAGACAAATCTTGGGCCACCTTAATGACTAGCAAGCTTTATTTGACATAAGATTTCAGGAACTTTATCCACTGATCCAGCATCATCTGAAGGAGATTAAAGTCCACAAAACCTTGTGTCAAAAAAGCTGAGTCTTTCATTGTTCAGTAAATTAACATGGCTACCCCCCCAAAAAAATTATAAATATATTTCTCAATATGATCTCTGTGCCACATGATCCACATCATCTCAGTATATGAACATGAGACCCATTTGATCTCAGAATGGAGGAGAGGGATCTTAGGGAGGCCATTTGTCAGGGATGATATAGACCACATTTGACTCTTATCTTGCTAAATTATAGGTCTTGAATTCATTTGCAGTTATTAATTTATGCTTCCCAGCATCATGTTTGATTGCTGAACTGCATTTCTAGCGTGGACAATCTGTGGCATTTTAAGCACACAAACTGAGTCCCGAAGTATTGAAATTCTAACTAGGGTGTGAAAATAAATTACAGCCTAACACTCATGACAGAGGTATCTGTCCAATCTATTGGAATTCTCATCAGGATCAGAAAATGCCACACCATTTTTCTCTCTCCTTGCATATGAAGACCAAGAGACTCTTTCCCATTGTCAATGATAATGAGATGAGCTTCATGGAGCCTAGACTACATATACTGCCCAAAGCAAATTGTACATTCTTGCAACATTCTGGACCACTCTGCTGATAAGATTCAGCACTGATTAGATTTAGCAAGTACAGCTTTAGTCCCTTTGAGACATGAAGCTAAACATATAAAACTGACTTACACAAAGCTTATTGGTCATTTTGTCCTGACGCTGGCTGCTTCAACTGGCAGCAGCTTCTGAAAGCCCATAAATGAACATCTTCACACTTTGGGATAGTCAGTTTAAAAGACTTATGGTAGGATTGTGGGATGTGCTATATGTCTCCATTCAGGATCTTCTTCACACAGATCATATGCATTACTCTGTGCACTCTATGTATTATTCGATTTTTATATCGCCCATCTGGCTACCTAGGCTACTCTGAATGGTTCACAACAAAATAGACAACAATAACACATTCAGTAATAAACACATAAACATAATAACAATGTAGAAAATCAAATAAACATATAAATCAATTAACTCAAAAGGAAGACAACATAAAAACAATTAATAAAAGCAAGACAGCAGAATTGATAACTTAAGAGCTGTAGCATTGTTTTATTTTCTTGCAATGTGTTGTGTTGTTCTGGAGCATTTTGCAGTGCTTTAGAGGCACCAATAGTTTTTCAGTGGTAGATGGCAGTTAGGCTTTCCAACACCAGGCCAAGTGAACAGGAGTGCCTTCCTCTTATACTTTTGAATTATCTTGTGTTGAGTAACCATTTATCTGTTTCACTTACAGCTCTATATTACAGGAACCTAATACAGAAAGTCTGCAAGCTTTGTGTACTTTAGGGCTGATAGCGCAAGATGCTACACTTGCAACAGCAGCCCTTAAAGAATTATTAAAGCATTTAGAAAGGAAGGATGATCTTTATAAGAGGTGTCTCCTGACATCTGCTGTCTATGCATTACAAGGCAGAAGCCAGACTGTCCAGAGACAAGTTTCTAAAGCTGTTCACAGGTATGTAATGTGCTTTTCTGAAACCAATTATGGTGTATTTTTATCACATCCTTCTTCCAGACAGGGATTGGGGGGGGCATTATACTCATCTGAGACAGACTGAGTTGAAAATGTTTCATTTTCCAAGTTTTTCCTATGGTCTTCTGTTTCTGTTACTTGGCATTTCTTGAGATTATTTTAATGCTTTTCATCCGATAAAGCTGGAATGTGTAAAATGACAATTTGCCATTTTACCAATTGTAGTCCATTAAGTCACTTAAGTAGTATACGTCTTACACAAAACAAAATGACACTGAGACCTTAAATTTCATGCTGTTGTCCTTGATGGTGGTCCTTTTAGAAGCAATCATCTTGTGTTACCAGAGCTCAGTATATATCAGTAATGGGTTCAAAGCTCAGGACTGAAAGCATTAGACTTAAGCATGCCCACCACCTCCCCAGCACACCAGCTTGGAAACTAGATTAGATATAAGTGTTCATATTCCAGTGGTGTCATCAGAAACACAGTAGACCTCAGGATGATTTAGACCAAAAAATTTTGCTTTCTAATTTTTTTCAAAAATAATATTTTCATTTGAGTCAAGAAGTATTTTGCCAACATTTTAATTGTTTAAAAAATTTAAAACAATTGATGTTTTCTTTGCAGACTGTTAAATTTTTTTAGCTTGCTTCAGATAGTAGGATAATTAAGTCTCATATACCGTACATAAGCAAGGAAGATATACTTCCAAAAGATTTGGAGTACAGTCCACTAGTATGATTTCCAGTCCAAGTCGCAGTGATTTTTCTTTTACCCATCTGCCACTGATCCATTGTGACATACCTTTTACCCATCTGCCACTGATCCATTCTGACATCTGTCATTATAATTTAGACATCTAATTCACCTAACCATTTTGGGGGAAGCCACATTTAGGTGGGGAAGTGTTGGCTTAGATACTTAGAAGGTGCGTTTTATCATTTCAACGCATGTTGATGGGTTTTGTGGCAGAAAACTGCAGTTTCATTATTGCTATGATCTCTTTCCTAGCAACCCAAATAACCCTGTCCTGTGGTCTCTTCTGTCTCGACTGGTACCCAAGTATACACCAAAGAATGCAAAGGTAAATATAGTAGAGTGAAATGTTACAGGCATTTACTTACATACTAAAGAATTGGTTTACTAAAATGATTTCCCAAGGGATAATCATGTTAGTCTGTTGCAGTAAAAACAGCAAGGAATCCTGCGGCACTGTAAAGACCAATGGATTAATTTTGCTGTAGGCTTTCATGAACTGGAGCACATTTCATCAGATGTATGCAGTTATTATCCAGCATTTCAGTTATGTGGATATGTACATATGTGTGTAAATGCATACACATGGATATAGTACACATGGTTGTGGTAGGTGGGGGAGGCAGAAATTATACGCAGTGGTTTCAGGGGAAACTTAAATACAGACAATACTGTATTAATATCCCTTTGACTTTGCCCTCTACAGCCCTGGGATTTGATTTAATTCTAACTGAAATTTAAAAATAATTCAGAATTTAAAATTAAAAAGTCAGATTTTTTGACAATTTAAATTTTAAATTCTTTTAATTTAAATCATGATTTAAATCAATTTGATTTTTAAAAATCATTGATTTTTATCCACTCTAGTCCTTGTCCTGCTTCCGATATTACTATATATATATGTGACATTCTGAAGTTGAATAATACCATTCATATGAAGTGGGCAATAGTCCACAAAATCGTATGGTTTAATAAATTGTTTAATTTTTTTATGGTGCCACCTGATTTGTTTGTGTATTTACTGAAATTCGTTTTCAAAATGATGAGTTAGCAAGGGAAGACCAAGGTCTGTCTCCAGATGGTGGAGACTGGTTTCCTTCCTAAAGAAAAAAGATTCTTGGGCACCTTGTTGATGCAGACTCCCAGATAATCACTTCAGGCACTTATAGGAGGATCCACGGTCTTAGATTCTATGTGATGGGTTTTTTCCTAGAAATTGGGTAGGGAACACTGATGTACATTTGACAAGAGATTACATTGAGAGTTAATTGTCCAAATGATTAACTGCTGATGCTAACTTACTCTGAAAATGAATTTTAATAAAAAATAATAATGTTCCTTAAAAAGCGGGATACAGTCCACAAAAGCTTATTCCAGATAGAAATATATTATGTTTAAGGTGCCAGAAACCTCTTGGTTGTTTTTGCTGTAATAAAATAACATGGCTATCCTCATACAGCAATGGTTTCTGCCTTTCATATCTTGCATCCCGCCAATTACTCTAGTCAAATAATTGATTTAAAAATACATGATAAAAAGAAAAGGCCTAAAGCATCACAACATTACACATTCTCCTTCCTCTAACACTCAGAGCACTTCCTTGCTCTCATGTACATTCTGATAGAACTTTGAGTAGCTGTGAAACCCTAGAAATGGATTTCTATAAGAAATGAAGCAAATTGATAGTATGTGTGTATGTGTGTGGAATGGGCAAAATAAAAAGATCCACAATCACTTTAAGGCAGGGGTGGGCAATTAATTTCTATAGGAGGGGCACATGAAAAATCTGAACTGTGTTCGGGGGCCGAACCAACTTTACTTAGAAATAAAATGAAACAGTGATGTTATGATTGTTTTTATTTTAAACTTATTAATCTTCACAAATACTAAAGAGGTTTTTTTGCGGTATGTTAAAGATAAGCAACTGATCAAATTTAGACAAAAAGCTGTAAATGGTTTTGATGTTCAAAACTGTCCGCGGGCCGGACAGGAGCAGCTCGGGCCGCACTTTGCCCAGGTCTGGTTTAAGGGCTGGGACATGCTTTGACCCTTTGTAAAGTATTGCTGTGTGGCAGTCCTTGGTGCTGGAGCTTGCTTGTACCTTAACTGGACTTCCTAACCTTTGCAGAGCCCCTTTGTCTGAGATTCAGGACCACCTTGTTTGAAGAAGATGTTATAATGATGGGCTCTCCCCACTGCAACAAACACATTATTTGATGTACTTGTCTCCGAGTGCTTGGGCCACCAGTTGTAGTAGCTTTCTCAGTCTCCGTGCTGCTTCCCTTTATGTGGCTTTCCAGATGTTGGACTGTCACTCCCATCATTCCTCACCATTGACTATGTTGCCTAGAAGTGTTGGAGTTTGAAGTCCTGGAACACTAGGCGAGCCACATGTTCCTCATCTTTCCTCTGTGAAACATTTGTGAGTTGCTTCTTCTTGCCAGCCAAAATGTCTCAGGGAAGAAGGTGAAGAGAACAACTGACAGTTGATAGTTTCCATCATTCTAGGAAGCAGCACATTTCAGTGTGCAAAACCATTTGATATTTTCAGAAGTATTGATCCAAAGGGCAATATAAGCATTCTGACTTACTGATTTAACAGGTTTATAATACACGGTCAATGTCATAACTCTGTCAATATTTTCTCTTGCAGGGTGGGGCTGTGGCGGGGACTGTTGCCCATATTCTTGATTTAAATCATGGAAAGGTGAGTATACGCTGTGCAAAAACAAATTTTTTATGGTAAATTTAGGGTAGATATCTTTTTTAGAGTGGAAGAATAAAGGAGAGTATTATTTATGTTTAGAAAGCCTTGCTAAATACTGCTGTGAATCAGTTGGCTTATGGATGTCACACAGTGGAAGATGACAAGAACAATGCCTTGAAGAATATTCAAAAGGCTGTCCATCTTTTTCCAGGTGAGTTCTGCTCTTTGACTAATGACTTACACCATCAGTATTAAGCAGGATTCAGAGACTTTTCTGAAATTTGCTGAGTAGTGTGATATAGTTTTTCTGGAGCAATCTGAAGCCCTAAACGGTTTGGGACCTCGATACATGGCAGATCGCCTTCTCCCACCCAGGTCTACTCGAATCACCTGACAAAGCCAGCAGGGACAGCTGGGGGACCTTACGCCGAGAGAGGCCCGGAAGGAAAGAACAAGAAACTGGGCCTTCTCGGAAGTAACCCCTCAATTGTGGAATACTCTACCAACAGAAATCTGCCTGGCTCCCTCGTTGAGTGTTTTTAAAAGCTATTTAAAAACTTGACTCTTTAGGCAGGCTTTCCCTCCAGTCAATTAATTGCTTTGTGTTTTCAATTATCCCATCTTGATAATGTATATATCCATCAGTTAGTTGGTTTTATTATTAGATATTATTAAGTATGTTATTCTATTATATTTTATCATTTATGTAAGCCGCCCCGAGTAGACTTTGTCTAGAGGGGCGGGGTATAAGTCTAAATAAATAAAAAAAATTAAAATTCATTGAGTGTTTAATATAACATTTTTTTATCAGTAAAATTAGTTTCTCAGTTGCCTCAGTGCTTTTGATAATCATTAGCAGTAGAACATTTCATAACAAATTCCTCATTGGAAATTACTGGCAAAATCAAGTGAATGAAAATACTCAGTTTTCCCTGCTTATGAAATGAGAGTTGTGTAAGAGACACTTCCCAAGATACTTTCTGTGTATATTTGTTTCCAACTTTTTAAACATATTTTTTGTGTGTGGCTTCAGCCCACTTTTCCTGAAGTTGTAGTGTTTGTTCTTTTCTAAACTTAACTCGGCTCTAGGCAAGGACACTGAGACTTGGGGCTGACTTTGAAGCAGCTGCAGTTTCACTGGCAAACCATTCTGAGAGGTCAAGACAGAGAGGCAGAGAACGGGCAAGGTGCAGAGAAAGTCTGGGAAAGAGTCTTAACATGCTCTTCAAGTTTGTGAAGAGACCCTTCTAATTGACAGTCTATAAAGAGTACTTATATGTAAGAGTTTCTTCCTATTGTGAATGTGGAGAGGTGTTATGGACAAAATGTGTCTCATCCCCCTGTATCTGTTTGACTGAAAAGCAGGGATGTCAGATGAAAAGAGGTACCTCCCTCACTTGTGAGACTGTGGTTTTAACAGTTTTAACAGGGTGTAACACTGATGGCAAAAAGTGAGGAGGAATTAAAGAATCTCTTAATGAGGGTGAAAGAGGAGAGTGCAAAAATGGTCTGAAGCTCAACATCAAACAAACTAAGATCATGGCCACTGGCCACATCACCTCCTGGCAAATAGGAGGGGAAGATATAGAGGCAGTGACAGATTTTACTTTCTTGGGCTCCATGATCACTGCAGATGGTGACAGCAGCCATGAAATTAAAAAAAAACACCTGCTTCTTGGGATGAAAGCAATGACAAACTTAGACAACATCTTAAAAACCAGAGACATCACCTTGCTGACAAAGGTCCACATAGTCAAAGCTATGGTTTTTCCAGTAGCGATGTATGGGAGTGAGAGCTGGACCATAAAGAAGGCTGACCGCTGAAGAATTGGTGCTTTTGAATTGTGATGCTGGAGGAGACTCTGGAGAGTCCCCTGGCCTGCAAGGAGAACAAACCTATCAATTCTAAAGGAAATCAACCCTGAGTGCTCACTGGAAGGATAGATCCTGAAGCTGAGGCTCCAATACAGTGGGGTCTCTACTTAAGAACGTCCCTACTTAAGAACAATCCAACTTAAGAACAGCTCCATTTGCTAAATATTGCTTCTACTTGAGAACAGAAATCCAAGATAAGAACAGGAAAAAAAACCTTTCCTGCTCTTTTTTTAACCTTAGGTCATCTTAGGTTAAAAAAAAAATCTCCCCCTAGTGGTAGAGTACGTATTAACCAGCTTTGCATTAGTTCCTATGGGAACTAATGCTTCAATGTACGAACGCACCTCTACATAACAAAAAAACAGCCAGAACGGATTAATTGGTTTTCAGTCCATTCCTATGGGAAATTTTGCTTCAACTTAAGAACGTTTCAACTTAAGAACACCATTCCAAAATGGATTAAGTTCTTAAGTAGAGGTTCCACTGTAGTTTCTATGGACGGAAAAGAGCAGATACGGATTAAATGGTTTTCAATGCATTCCTGTGGGAAATGCAGATTTAACATAAGAACGTTTCAACTTGAGAACCACCTTCCAATACGGATTAAGTTCTTAAGTAGAGACCCCACTGTACTTTGGCCATTTCATGAGAAGAGAAGACTCCGTGGAAAAGACCCTGATGTTGGAAAAATGTGAAGGCAAGAGGAGAAGGGGACGAGAGAGGGCGAGATGGTTGGACAGTGTCATCGAAGCGACCAACATGACTTTGACCCAACTCCGGGAGGCAGTGGAAAACAGGAGGGCCTGGTGTGCTCTGGTCAATGGGGTCACGAAGAGTTGGACACGACTAAACAGCAACAACACAGAGCAAGATTTGTTTGCATCCAGATGTAAGAAAGTATATATAGCTGTATGTGTTTGGACTCCTGGTTTTTAATGGCCTTAATTTGGCATGGAAGGAGACCGAGAGCACAGCTTCTGACCTGAGGGTGAGGCTAGAAGAGGAAGAGAGCTATGCTGTAGACTGATATCTCCAGCTTTTACCAGATGCTTTCAACTTTTGTGGTTAAAATATGAAATGAAAATGGAATTCTGAGAGCAGAGTTCATGTCTGGTTCTGTGGTAATGCATTTTTTATATTGCTTCTGAGTTGCTGTTACTGGATATGAAAAGAGAATGCTTATGATCAGCTCTTAAAGAAAAACCCAGGTCTTGCTGCTATGAAATTTCTTCTGTGTGCTTATGGATCCCTTTGCAAACAGAATGAAATAAACCAATTTTCACTAAGCTTTTAAGCTCTGCATGCAACCAGATCTGAAGCACTGCAGAGATTTTTGTATTCACAGGTAACTGTTTTTGCAATACTGTGCTTCCTATTCAGGAATTGTTACCTTATGTAAGTTTCTAAATGGCTTGGGCACACAAACATTCAAGGGAAGTTATCTGTTTTATTTCTTGGCCTTTACACTACTGGGTACATCCAGTTATTTAGCAATTCAGCTGGCATACCTTGAAACTGACAGCTAAGTCTTATGTGTTTCAGATGATCCTGCTGCTTGGTCTGTGCTCCTGGCTGCCTGTCATGCTGAAAACACCATTGTTTGTCTGTATAATACAGAGCCCAAGAAGACAAATTTGGAAAAAATGATTGTCACCACAGTCTCAACTAAAAGTAAGGTATTTTTTGTTGGTTTTGCTTTGCTTTGTTTTCTTGTTTTTTGTTTTTTGTTTTATTTTGATTTAGTTACAGGTAACTGATTTGAATAGGAAAACCTAAGAATTTTCCCTCTAAAATAATAAGGTAAATGTACTTCCTATACTTTCTTCTGAAATAATAAAGTAGTGTCAAAACAGGTACAGTGGACCCTCTACTTACGGAATTAATCCGTATTGGAATGGTGGCTGCAAGTCGAAAAGTCTGTAGGTTGAATCTCTACAATGCATTGAAAACGAATTAATCCCATAACTGACAGTTTTTATTCTATTTTTGTTCCATTTTGTTTTTTTTCTGGTCTGTAAGTCGATTCTCCGGCTGCAAGTCGAATCTAAATTTTGCGGCCAGAGAAGTCTGTAACTCGAAAAGTCTGTAAGTCGAGCCATCTGTAAGTCGAGGGTCCACTGTATTCTATCCCATAAGGGCAATTCAGAAACTTGAAGAAGGCTTGGACACAATGTAGATGTGTTCTAGTTTTGATCCACCATCACCAACTGATATAATACAGCCACAGCTTCCAGTTGATTGGTAAGCAGGCAATAAAGTCTGGTGCACACAGGTAGTGTTGCAGAATGAGCTGTACCACCTTCAGGTTGAAGATATGGCTCAAGTTTTTTATATGTGTATATTATAATATCTGTGAAAATGACAAACTAACTCAAGGAAGAGCAAACCCAGGTTAGAACCTTTGTCTTGTGAGCTAATTTTTTTACTTGCAGGATGCTTCTAACATGGAGGAAAATTCATAACTGGCACCCACCACCCCCAACCCCGAAGTGGTGCATTCCATTCTCCACATAGATAGATAAAGCTTCCTAGGGAACCAGTTTGTGGTTACTTAATTTCATGATCACCATCTAAAGGGTATACACCACATTTTCTGTATAATTGTGAATAATTGTAGCAATCTTGTTCTTATTGATCACAAAGGACATTGTTGCATAGTAGTAATGGTCTTGCATGTGGTCAGTCATTATAAGAGCTTGGAAATGTTACTTATATGGACTATGCTCCCACAGTTTCCTAACCAGCGTGTCCATGGCTAGGGGATTCTGGGAGTTGACAATCAAGAGGAACTTTTTGGAAATGAGTCCGGCTTTATCTTTTTCCTTCTCTGCATTGTTTGATGGAGAAGGAGGCAAAAGTGACTTCAAGAATGAAAGAAGGCTGCTAGAGCTGGGTAGCTTGTGAGTGGACATTATGGGGGAATAAGGATTTATTATTGCCCCATTCCCCAAAGAGTTGATACTTCCAGCAAAGAGCTTAACTATAGAATATTTGAAACACATTGAAATACCAAAACAATGATTGCCTTTAGTGTCAGAATTATTTTGCTCTGTTTTTTAATTCATGATTACATTTCTCTTTAGCTGTTAAGGTTTAAAATTTATATGTGAACAAGCTGCAGAGTTTTTAGGAATAATACATATTTCATGTTTTCTAGCTAAAGAAAAGGATCTTTCAGCTTCTCACTCCCAGGCTCTTGAAGAGTGGTCCCTTTTCCAAGCCATTACTGGTTTAAATGAGACAGGTAGCACATCAGAAGCTGAGGCTCTCTGTACAAAGGTATGGTCATTGTCAGCAGAAACTGCTGCAAATTTGAGTTGAATGCGAAGATTTATATATTGGAGGCTATGCAACTGTGCGGGCTGAACCATTTAAAAAATATTGCAGTCCATTTGCTGTTTATCTCCTTGATCCAATAGGATATGGCAGTGGCTTGCACCACCACTTTAATGGTACAAGCTCACTGTTAGAAATATTTAGTAGCATCCTGGGAAGAGGCTGTGTAAATGTTCCTTTGCCTTATAATGTTATCACAGATTTGCGCAGCACTCCTAAGAGTCATAGGAGTTAGTCTTATTACTTCTGCTGTGAATCATATCTAAATGACTTAATATAGATGGGCCATGTTTAAAAAAATATATTAAAAGTTAGTTTTTTCCCATAATATTCATTTTCTTTTCATTGTTACCTATTTGTAATTTCTTTTAACTAGGGGAGGAGGAGACTGTCCCAAAGCAACCATAGTTCTAGAAATCTGCAGACGGGTTTGCTAGGAAGGCTTCATCAGCTATATATGGCCCTGATGATTTTTCATCTCTTTTCTAGAAAAAAAGTAAATGATGCCTTTCCCCCTCCCCCAGCCCAGTGATTCTTAACCCTGGGTAACTCAGGTGTTCTTGGACTAGAGTTCCCAGAAGACTTCACCACCAGCTGTGCTGCCCAGGGTTTCTGGGAGTAGCAGTCCAAGAATACCTGGGCTACCTAAGACTGGGAACTACTGCCCTAGTGAGTTAAGCACTTTGTATGATAAATAAGAGCAGGAGAGCTGGATGAAACAAGGTCAATAAGATTCAGTAGTTGTTTGGTGGATATTTCTCACATGTTCTGGTTATCTCCATCAGTGGAATTATCAGGTCCTTACAGACAATGGAAGACAGAAACTAATCTTATTGGGGCAATACTGCTGCTTTACAAAAATATATTGGAATGTATTTGTTAAATATTACGGTGACCTAATTTTGATAAATAAATGTATTGAATGAGGGGCTGATGAAACAATGACACCCTGTTAAGCCCTGCCTCCTGGGCTTTTTCTGTGTGTGAACGTCTGGATCCTTCAAGTTGCTCACAGTTGCATTGTTCACATGAAGGCCCTACTTTCTTTGAAATAATGTCAAGGGTTTTTTTTCTCATGATCAGCTAATTTTATTTTTTTAATAATGTATTTTTGCTTCTAGGGGTTAAAAACTTTTCCTGAGCAACCAACTTTGTACTTGCTTCTAAGACAAGTTCAGTGTAAACCACTTCTGCAGTCTCACAAGGAGCTTCCTGATGCCATCTTGGAAGAACTCCGAAAGGCAGTGATGTCCAATTCCACTTCAGTTACAGCGTGGCATGTAAGTGGGGACCAGTTTTGGATCTCTTCATTATATCTGATCACTCTTTAGCACAATAGCAGCTAAGAATGCTACATGCAGCCAGTAAGTTCAGTGCATATAGTAGGTTTGACAGAAGAGGAGTTAAACAGCCCTTGCTGTGCTCAGTATAAGGAGACTTTGCTGAATGGGGTAGGTACAAGGAGCAGTGGGAGAAGGGCAGTCTTTAAGAACTGGGTTAAAGCCCTTCAGTAAGTGAAAGAGATTTCAGGAATCTGACCTTTCAGTGGTACCCTACTCAACAAAGTGACTTAATCCGGTATGGTTTTTGTGGGTTTGCAGGCACTTCCATGGGGACGAGAGAGCAAGAAAGTTTAAGCCTGTCAAGCTTGCTATACAGACCTAAATCTGGATCTTGACACAGTGTGCCCAAGATTGAGCACAGCAGGTTAATGGCTGAGCGGGATTGTTCAAGCTAGGTTATTCAAATAGGTATGACTACCTATAGGTGCAGAGTGAGATTGTACCTTTTGTAAGCTGCCCCGAGTAGACGCTGTCTAGGGGGGCGGGGTATAAATCAAATGAATGAATAAATACATAAATACCTTCTGGTATGCTTTCCCCCTCTCTTTCACTCAGTCAGGCATAGAAATGCTGAACGCATTTTTGCATTTCAAGCAGATTTTACAATCAGGGCATTTAGCTGTCTTAGTTGCCTTCAGCACCACATGACACTGAAGTCAATAGAAGTTGACATGGCAATCTGTGGGATGAAGGGATGCAGTCAATAAATATAACTCTTTTCAGTACATTGGGATTTGGTAGCATCTCCAGCTGCTGTTTAGCATCAGATTGGTCCTTGCATAATCTTTCTGATGCCATTCTTCTGCACTTAAATGTATTTGGTACTTTGCCCAGAGAATACAGTGTTCTCCATTTCATTACTGTAAGTAAACATTTTATCACCATGGCAGAGAACTGAAAGAACAAAGAGGAGCTGAACTCTGTGTCATTGTTGCAGTGTTTCTAGATAGGCTGTTGTAACACACACATGCTTTGTTGGGGTGGTCTTTAAAATGTAAAATTACCAGTTTCTGCCACCACATGAACACTTGTCTTTCCTTCCACTGCACATTTCCTGGTATCAAAGCAGGCTTGTTTGAGAAAAACAATAAACATAATGAAGGAACGCATTCGGTTGTGGCTCATTAATCTTGTTTAGCACACTGTTATTATGTAAAAGAACCAGGGTAAAAAAATGATTTTATAAATCTGGGCACATCTAGGATATCTGACATAACTTGTGCTCTCTAGTTTTGCTTTTGGCAAGAAACAGGTTTCAGCTACTGTTCCTCCTTACAAAATCATGAGTCATTGCAGGCTTCTCATATAAACAGTTGGGCAGGAAAAACATCTGCACCCAGACCCCATGAGCCCTGGACAAGCGTTGCAGCAGGGAGTGAATCTGTTCTGATTTCCAGACTTTCCAGTTCCATTCCTTTTCCTTTTTTTCCAATCCGTTGCCTCCTGCTCACCATCCTTGTAACATTCTGTGGCCACCGAGCCTACCCAGCACTCTTTTAGATGTGTTGGAGTCCCTTTGCCTCACCCTTGGGGTTCTCTAAGCCTTTTGATACTTCTCTCTTGCCACTGTCGATGGAGCCATTTTCCTTACATAAGCATTTTTCTTTTCCCAGTTGGAGGCTTGAAAAGCATCATACTCAGAGGGTTTTAGAAAGCAGTATACAGTGGTGCCTCGCATAACGAGCGCACCGTACAACGACGAAATCGCATAGCGATCCCTTTTTTGGGATTGCTAATGCGATCGCTCAATGACGTTTAGATAGGGCGAAACTCGCTTTGCGAAGATCAGCAAGCGTTTCGCTTACCGATCTTCGCAAAACGAAGCCCCGACAATCAGCTGTTTGGCGGACAAAATGGCCGCCGGAAGCCCCAAAATGGCCGCGCGCAGCATTTTCGCGCCCTCCCCTCGCTTAACGAGGGCGCGAAAATGGCTGCCGGCCATAGGAAACTTCGCTGAACGGTGAGTAAAGGAGCCTTTTGGAACACATTAAACGATGTTTAATGCGTTCCAATGGCTTTCCCTGTCCCGTTCAGCAATGTTTCGCTATATACGAGGCATCACTGTATTGGTGTGTGCAAAGTATGGTCCACAAGCTGCATGTAGCTCTCTGATCCCCAATTCAACATTTTAGGGGAAAATAAAAAATGGCCAGTTGTATCTCAGAAGCTTGGGGGAGTGACTTGACATTAAATTGCTATATCAGGCATGAATAAAAACCCAGAATAGTTTATAAATGGCCAATTGTATCCAACTGAAGAGTTCTAGGGGTGCAACTAGTTGTATTCACATTTCATTTTTCCCCCAAGATGACAGCTGTAGAGAAGGATAGTGGTTCATCAGAGTTGCAGCTCACTGAGGTCTTGGGGAGGCAAAAATGGTTCCCAGACTTAGCAAAGGTGCTTATTCCTGCTGTAAATTATCTCCAGTATCAGACTACAGCACATCTCTGAATATCACTTGTGGTGTAACATGGGGATTCTATTGCTGTTATGTCCAGCTGGTGGACTTTTCATTGGCATTTTAGGTGGTCTCTGTCAGAATTCTCATCTAGATAGATTGGATGGACAAGGTATAGTTATTCAGATATCCAGTTGCAACTTGCAGCATTTACCATCATGGTCAGGTCCTCTTGATCCCTTCCTGAATGGGTGTGCATCACTCCAGTTGACCGACCCTGCACACAAATTCTCATTGAATGCAACAGCGGTAGCACTTTGCATGCTCGCAGATTATAATGACAGCTCCTACCACAATTATTTGTGGGTGACAGTCATTTCACTAGTCCAATTTGGCTAGCACCAGTGACCACTAGAGCTAGCATAGTTCTGATATGGCTTGTAGGTGTTAGTCCATGCTGACTAACCAGATGCCCATGGAGACCCTCTATCTGGTAAGGTATTTCATGTAGCATCCTGAGAATCCTTCCTTATCCATAATGTACAAAACAATGGAAAAACTGTCTAACATCTTGGGTATTTTGTTCTTTTGAAACCAGATTAGGTTGCATATTGAAACCATATGTCAATTTATTGATCTCCTTGAGCTATGTGTTTTGTTTCACCCAAACTTAATGCACTCTTCATGACATGTGTGACTTTCCAGTTCATTGTGCTAGAGAACTGTAGGATGGCTTTTTTCAGTCTCCTTTACTTGATTTGGAGTTAACATCTCAGCTTATAAGCTTTCTTTTAATATATAATCATGAGACTAGGAATTAAGTGTGCTGTAAGAGACTAAGTGGACTTGTCCACGAAAGCTCACATTAAAATATAATAGTCTTTAAGGTGCCACATGTTTTTGTCCTTTTGTTTTGTTTCGTTGGATTTTGCCTGATATAAGAGCAAACTGCGAGCCTGAATAATGGACTTGATTCCTCTCTCTCCAGTGGTTGGCGCAAGTATACCAGTCACAGGGAATGATGGTTTCAGCAGAGATGTGCTACCGAAAAAGTCTGCAGCTGGCATCCCAGCAGGGCAACTGGAGTGGGAAGCTCTCTAGTCTACTAAGACTTGCTAAGCTTGCCCTAGAAATCTGCATGGTGAGAGAGCTAAATTATTTGATGATAAAACAAGCTGATTTTTTAAAATTTAAATTGTGGGATTTGATGATTTTAAGTTTTACTCTTGTAAACTGCCCAGAATCACGTTTAAATAAATACGTAAATATTGAGTTTCAAATGTAAAAAGGTGTTTCATTTTATGCTTATGAAAAAATTCAAATAAATTGTGTGGCCAAGAGGTTTTCTCCATACGAATTGTATGTTGAATAACAGACAGAAATTAGATTCCATCATGAGCATGTTACAAATGTATTTGCACTGGTGAGTTACAAATTCTCTCAGAGTTTGATTTCCCTTTATGGTGAAGGATATGTTACAAGCCATGTTTCATACGGTCAGCTTGTACGGGTGAGGTGACACCTTTCCCCACCGCTGTTCCAGCCAGAGTTGCCGTGCTTAATGGTCATTCTCATGAAAGGTCTGGATCTTTCGTCATGCCAGCTGTCCCAGTGTTAGTAACTGATACAGTACAGTGGTGCCTTGCATTACGATTGCTCCACATTACAACGAAACCACATTACAACGACGTTTTTGCGGTCGCTTTTGCGATCGCAAAACAATGATCTAAATGGGCTTGTTTCGCTTTGCGATGATCAGTTCCCTGCTTCGGGAACTGATTCTTTGCAAAATGACAATTTTTCTACAACTGATCAGCGGTTTCAAAATGGCCGCTGGGTAAATAAAATGGCTCCCTGCTGTTTTCTGGGACGGATTCCTCACAAGACAGCCACCGAAAATGGCCGCCCTATGGAGGATCTTCGCTGGATGGTGAGTTTCCAGCCCATTGGAACACATTGAAGGGGTTTCAGTGGGCTTTTTATTTTCGCATTACGATGTTTTCGTTCTACAGCGATTTCACTGGAATGAATTAACATCGTAATGTGAGGCACCACTGTATTCTAGAATAGCCAGACCTAATATATTGTGCTGGAAGTTAGAGCACTATTGCATAAGTAGATTCAAAAATACTTTATCAAACATTTTAATTAGTTTAATTGATGCTGTGTAAGTTTACAAATGGAAACTTTTCAGACATTTATTTCATTATATAATCATTCTAAGTCCTTTTCTTTGTCAGTTGTGATATGGAGATCGGTGTTCATTTTTACTACTGATTTTCTTTAAAGGCTAATATTTCAAATGATCACTGGCCATCTCTAGTTCAAGAAGCCACAACAGAAGCCTTGAAAATTTCTTTTTGCCCTCTGGGTGTTCTGTTTCAAGCACTTCTACAGTATACTCGCAAAATGGGATCAAGGTATGAACTGATTAATAGTTGCACAATAGGCACCTATGCACTGAGTCAGTATTGTAGTTATCATGTGATAATACTTAAGATGCCTTAAAGTTTCATTCACATGTCTAGATGACAAGCTTTATAGCAGTGGTGGGGAACTTGTGGTTTTCCAGATGTTACTCAGTCGCAACCCCTACTAACCCTAAGCCCAACATAGCCAGTGATAAGTGATGGTTAGAATAGCAATCCAGCAACAGCTGGAGTCCTGATTTACAAGTAGAGCCTTCCTGGATTTTACTGTTGTATTAAGCTGTAGTGTAGGGGGGAGAGGGAAATGCAGTAATAAAGAATAAAGTAATAAAGAAATGGATAATACTTGATTGGAGGCACCCCTTCCCCCAGTGGAAGCATCATTTGGTGATGCTTCCACTGGAGCACCTGTGATTGCCAGAGAGTTTATCTTAAAAGGAAAAATTCACTTTCCTTTTTGGTGTAGAATGACTACAGGAAAAGTAAACAAAAAATTCTGTCTGCTTACACAATTCCCTTTACTTACATTTAAATTATTGCTTGAATTCCTGTCAAGAATTCTAACACAGTGAGGTCCAAGACCTTCTCCAACCTAGAATTGCCACAAATTTAGCCAATAGGAGGTTGGTGACATCCGTCCTCTCCTCCTAAATGTCCTAATACTTCCATGTCTTTCAACAATGAACATAGTTCCACAGCTAGGTTTGTTTCTGCCTGAGAAAGTAGATTTTCTGCCACATTGTAGCAAATCGTTCAAATTCATGTGCAGAAAAAACTGCTTTCTGGCTTAAATTCCATTGTTAGTCTCACTTTGAACAGACCTGGTAAATTAATTGGAATTAAATCAATGATTACGTAGGTTTTATTGATTCCGTGAGTGGCTCTAGTTAGGACTTAAATTGGATTGAGGCCGTTAAGGGTGCAATTTGCATCTTCAAAATGATTAGACTTGTCCATGGTTCCTATGTACTAATTTTCTCATACATTGTATACCATCAAATTAGTGTTACACGTTCCTTGTTTTCTTCATAGAGAGACTCGTCGCATGCTTGAAAGAGTGGTGTATCAATCTGGCTACCCAACAACCATTACGTCTGTTGCCCGATGGTATCTCTTAAGACATCTATATGCCAAAGATGACTATGAATTAATAGATGTAAGTAGCATTCTGTAAATGCCTTTCTTATTCTTTATTTATTTCATCAGGTAAAGTAATTTTTAGATTGTTTTTTTCTCCAAATGAAGCTTTCCTCTGTGCACCATTGTTTGGGAAATTCAGATGTGCTACTTCTTGAAGGAAGGCCACTCACCCCCGTGATAGCAGCCAGAATATGATTAGTTTATTTTTCAGTATTTGTACATACTTAGTTCAAACTGCAAAGTGCAAAAAATGGTCTGAAGATCAACATAAAAAAAAAAAACTAAGATCATGGCCACTGGTCCCATCACCTCCTGAGAAATAGAAGGAGAAGATATGGAAGCAGTGACAGATTTTACTTTCTTGGGCTCCATGATCACTGCAGATGGAGACAGCAGCCACGAAATTAAAAGACGCCTGCTTCTTAGGAAAGCAATGACAAACCTTGACAGCATCCTAAAAAGCAGAGACATCACCTTGCCAACAAAAGTCCGCATATTCAAAGCTATGGTTTTCCCTGTAGTGATGTATGGAAGTGAGAGCTGGGCCATAAAGAAAGCTGACCGCTGAAGAACTGATGCTTTTGAATTGTGGTGCTGGAGGAGGCTCTTGAGAGTCTCCTGGACTGCAAGGAGAACAAACCTATCAATTCTAAAGGAAATCAACCCTGAGTGCTCACTGGAAGGACAGATCCTGAAGCTGAGGCTCCAATACTTTGGCCATCTCATGAGAAGAGAAGACTCCTTGGAAAAGACCTTGATGTTAGGAAAGTGTGAAGGCAAGAGGAAAAGGGGATGACAGAGGATGAGATGGTTGGACAGTGTCATCAAAGCTACCAGAATGAATTTGACCCAACTCCAGAAGGCAGTGGAAGATAGGAGGGCCTGTCGTGCTCTGGTCCATGGGGTCACGAAGAGTTGGACACAACTAAATGACTAGACGACGAGTTCAAACTGCAGAATCTGCAGCAGCAATCTGACAATGAGTGCTGGTCACATATGACTGGGCATATGACTAGTATCTTTGCCAGTTGGTGCTCTGTGCATCCATAAATAGTTGATAGGATACTAGCCTTTATCTCTACACTGCTTACTTTTTGATATACGTTTATTTTTTCAGGCATCCAAGTTCTTAATTCAGCATGCTTATATGCCATGCTGTTGATTTTGGTATTATATTTACAGTGGTGCCCCGCATAGCGAGGTTAATCCGTTCCGGATTAACCTTCGCTATGGGAAAACATTGTAAAACGGATCCAAAAAACCCATTGGAACTCATTAAACAAAGTTTAATGCGTTCCAAATAGGCCCAAAACTCACCGTTCTCTGATGTTTTCCCTTGTTCCGGCAGCCATCTTGGGTGTACCGGCAGCCATTTTGAGTGTCCCGGCGGCCATTTTGGGTGTACCGGTGCCCATTTTTTGTGTTCTGGTGGCCATCTTGGATGTACCGGCGGCCAGTTTTTTGTGTTCTGGCGGCCATCTTGAGCGTCCTGGCGGCCATCTTGGGTGTACCCGCACACATTTTTTGTTCCGGCGGCCATTTTGGAACCGCTGAACAGCTGTTCCCCCATCGTAATGCGAGCATGCCCTCGCATTAGCGATGGGGAAATCCGCATCGCAATGCGGAATCATCGTTCAACGGTGCACTCGTTATACGAGGCACCACTGTATTTTTATTTATTTTTGTTCAAATAGTTGCATTATGTTCTAAGATTAGAGCATAATATCCCAGATGGCTTCCATGGTAGAATGGGTTAAACAACTGAAAGAACAGAGTATAGTTTCGAATATTTTAAATACATTTTATCCTTCCACAATGAGAAAAACATATTAAGAATTTATAGTAGCAATCATAAATTTTTAACAGTGTTGGTGTGTGTGAAAAAGGAAGTAAAGATTGGTGGTCAGCTTTTTAAGGAAAATAAAAGATCTAGATTAAGTTACCAGTTTGTAAAACTACTCCCACCAAAATAATGTTCCAGTCCTATTCTCCAGTGAGCCACTGGAGTCTCAGATTACACTCTTGCTAGAGCAATACATGCCTTGGGTGGAAACAGGGGGAAATTCCCTCCCTGACACTTGTCACCAGTGCTAGGCTGGAAGAGCTATGAGATGCCCATTTGTTTATACAGTTGAGAGACAGCTGTGATAAAATATATACATGTTTAAAACCCATCTCAGTGGACTCAATATACGCCAGGAGTTCTTAGTTCATTTGAATGTTCACCAACATACCAGCTGTAATCCTGCTTTGCTTCTTAGCCTTAAGAGGCTGGAGCAGGTAAGAGGGGCATCGCTTATACTGTCTTATGATCTATCAGTTATGCCATCAAGAGGAATGAATAAGAATTAGAACAAGTAAAGTGTGAGAAACACTGACGCTTTCAGAAAAGGGACTATTTTGCCCCATCTCCCTTTGATCAGTAGAATCACTACTACACTTTGAAGGCACAACTAACTAAATATTAGATAAGTAAATCTTAAGGTAAGTACAAAACTAAGTAGCTTCTTATTCTGAAGGTTGGTTAATGCCTTGTGATTTGTCAAAAAGTAAATATCTTTAATTCCCCTGTGGCTAAAATTGATTGATTGATTTTGAGTATTTATTATATACCACCCAAATTAGTGCTAGGCAGTTTACAGTAAAGGAAAATTATTCCATAAACCACAAACCAGCTTTAACAAACTAAGAAAGGTAAACCAGAATTAAAATTAAGTACAACCTAAGTGATGGCGGGACCTGATGATTCATATATAGACCTAACTCCAGCGATGATGTCCTTGAAAGGTTCTTTGAAAACAATAGTCTTTAACATCCTCTTGAAGGATGGGAGGGAGGGGGCCTGGTATACTTCTAACAGGAGCCCATTCTGTAGGGATGGGGCTATATGACCAAAAAGGCTCACTTTCTGATAGAGGTCTTGTTTGCCTCTCTTGCTGTGATAGCCTACTAGAGTGAAGTTGGTGAGGACTGGGTGGTAGGGACCAAGTTTCTGCAGGAAGGACACTTTGACAAGTAACAGGGTTTCAAGCGCTTAATGAAATTATTTAAGCATTCATCATAACATACTGTTCTCTTTCCTTGCCCCCACCCTGCCATTCTCCCTCAGGCTCTTGTAGCGAATGCCAAAGCTAATGGAGATGTTCGAGCACTGGAACTAGACAAGAAGCTTGCAGCTGCCGCCTCCTAGCCTGAGCTTCAGAGGGAAGACGGACAGAAGACCTCTTTCCAGTGGCCCACAGCAGCAGCATCCAGATAGCAACTCTTCCTTAAGTTCAAGCCTCCTCTCCTGTTAGTGCTAAGAAAACATATTTTAAAAGGAATTTGTTATTAAACTGCCCATTTAAAATTGAAATTCAGTTTGTCTCGATTTGTGCTCATTTTAAGTTACTTCTCATCTACAGTGGGGTCTCGACCTACAGAATTAATCCGTATTGGAACGGAGTCTGTAGGTCGAAAATGCATTCCCCATAGGGAATGCATTGAAAACCTATTAATCCGTATCTGGCCCAAGAAACCCCCACACACAAACACACACACGCCAGAAGCCACTGGTAATGGTGCGGCTAAAAAATATTGTAAATAAATATTGTAAATAAAAAATTAAAAATATTTTTTTAAAAAATCACCTTCCCTTTTTAAAGTCTTCAAGGGGTCCCCCGCCGCCACCATCGCTGCTGTTGGAGGACTCCGAGGGCTTCGGCGCGGCTGCCGGAGGCCTCTTGGAGGTCCCCCGCCGCCGCTGATAGTGCTTCGGAGCCACTATCGGCAGTGGGAGGGGCATCCAAGAGGCCTCCCATGGTGGCGGGGAAGGCCTTTGGAGGTCCACCGCCGGGAGCCGAGCCGCGCCTGGCTATCCCAGCCATGGTTGGACTCCCAGGAGTCCAAGCATGGTTTGGGTTGCCCGGCACGGCGCGGCTTCAATCGGTGGCAGCGACAGGGTAGGGGGTGCCCGGATGCCTTCCATTGCTTCTCCGCCTGGAAGGCATCCAGGTGTCCCCCACCCCGCCGTCGGTAGCCGTGCCGCACCAGGCAAACCCAGCCATGCTTGGACTCCCAGGAGTCCAAGCATGGCTAGGATAGCCCAGCACGGCGCGGCTCCTGGCAGCGGTGGCAGGGGACCTCCGGATGCCTTC